ACCAGAAGGAAAACCATCAGATGTATCTGCAACACCAAAGTCATCAACAAGCATTGAAGTAACATGGAAGGTATATTTCTTAGTAGAGGTCGGACGCATTACTACCATATATCAATATTCCTATGAATGGCTCGCATGTACATATAGACGTCTACCAAATCCCTATATTAGGTTCTACAATTACATATTCAATCTTACGTCGTTATTCGTGAAGTCCATTACAAACAAATCATGCAAAATTCATTTTATTCAGGCGAATTGAATTCATTGTTCAATGGTTAGATTTAGGAAATAATAGGGCTACAAAATGCACAAGGATGAATTCGAATCTTCTCATGGTCGTCTGTGATTTTAAGTTTTTGAACAATTTCTTGGTTTTATTCTCCACAAAGTGTGTACATGAGAGCCTTCTATGTGTACATATAAAAACGACGTGTATAAGTTCACCTTTATATAAAAGTCCTATGACAGATCCTTCTCACATCTATCTCATGCCTATTGCCGTTGCCCCTCTTCTGCTTATTGATCTACAATCCGCCCCGAAAGTAAATGACAACTTTTAACATTTCCGCCATTTTAATTTCGTACGCTTTATTCCGAATAGGGTTAATTTGGTGCATTTCAATTTTAAAATGTTTCAAATTGTGATCCTTAGCACAGTCCATAATACACGCTGACACAAGATAGCGATATTACAGTTCCTCATCATTTCACAATAAACTTAGATAGTTTAACAAAAGAAATATACTGGATTCTTTTTTGTTAACTCCTTGATTCCTTATTTAGTCTTTTTGCTCGAATAAGGCATTTTTCTTGTACTCTAAGACAGTATAACTGTCCATGCCTTTTTGATTGACAATACTTAACATGTCAAACATCTATCCAATTTTACCTCAATATTCTCTAGTTGCCACGTTGGGCCAAATTCAACGGACCTTCAACTGGCTTTAGAATTACAAACACCGACGCACGAAGAATCAAAAAGACAAAACTCGTTAGAAACGTCAGAAAAGCCTTACTGACCAACTTGAACAAGTGGATGACATACAGTATAACTGTATCAATGTGGAATTCAAGATATTATGGCACTGAAAGCAGCATCGCAACAGCAACCACAAAAGAAGATGGTAATTATGTTGGATACAATGAAAGGAAATAAGAATTGTTTATAGAAATTAGATAGTGCCCTGGAGCTTTTAAGCTAAAATTAAAATTAAAATTAATTAAAATTAGGAAATTATAAAATCTTTAAATCTGGAGCGCATTTAGTGAGGGGTCGCTTAAGGATGTCCCTAAACCCCAAATCAAATTTGGCATAAGAATTGCAAAATGAATGATCTCAACGTCGATGCTGTGTCAGGATTAGTTTATCAGTTAATTATTAGTGTATAAAATGTATTTTTTTAAGTGATTCTTTTGCGTTTGAACAATGTATTGCAATGCCGTCATATTGATGTGCAGTGTTATCATGGAGTGAAACCTTTGTATATTTGTGCTGTGGGTTTATTTTGAACGTCTTAAAGTCTTTGAACGATTTAAGTCGCTGTTCAGTCAAGTTGAAATATTTGGCATGACTCAAAATTACACTTTTCTGAAAGTAGAACTTTTTAACTACCATTGATTGCATTTTATTATGTTATCAAATTAGTGCCTGACATCGCACCACAAGGCATGGAAGTGACAGAGCAAAACAAAACAACATTTATTATTGCTTGGCAGCCCTTGCCTAGGAACAAAGCTAATGGTGAAATCACAATGTACAAGGTCGTCTGGGCCTTACGTCACATTGGACGAGCTAAGAGAATGGCAGTTGGTGACACTTTTACTGGGACAACAAAGGGAACCCAATTTGTTTTGCAGGGTTTAAGACTCTGTGCACAGTATGAAGTTCATGTTGCGGCTGCAACGATAGCTGGCTTAGGTCCAAATGCTACTCAAGGTGTTACCACATCAAGTAAGTACTATTAAAATATCCCCTAAGAA